CCCCCCCCCCCCCCCCCACGGACCGCCGAAATACTGCTTTCCTCATATGTACGCCTCCCTCGTATGTACGCCCTCCGCCAATGCTACTATGCTCCCGTCTACTCGTATGTCGCGTACCATCAGGTGCGGGGAAGACGACTCTGTTGAATGCCCTGGGCGGGAGAGCGACGTACGGCGAGGTGTCCGGCGCCGTCACCCTCGGCGGACGGCCGCTGACCAGCGAGGACCTAAACTACGTGCCCCAGTTCGACGAGCACAGCGAGCGGTTCACCCCGAGGGAAATCCTCACCTACATGAAACATCTCCAGGTTCGGCATTTTGCCGCTTGATCTATCTGGATCTTGGCAAACGTGCAGGCAAAAGTGCTTGCTTGAACGGCCTCTCCCCCCGTCGTGTTGCTCTCCTTCTTCGTCTATATATCTGTTAGAGCTCTTCTTCTTGTGCTCTCTACCTCGCTGCTGTTCCCATCAATCCACCCCCTCTAACTACCGGCGAACAAAATCTAAAAACGTGTTTCAATCGTTATCGTCATTAACACCTGCAACAACAACAACAAACGCAGGTGGTCCCCAAACCTAGGTCTAACCGAAAGAGCGTAATAGAACTCCTGCACATCCTGGGGCTGAGTCTTAAGGCGGACGTGATGGTGGGGACCCTGTCCGGGGGGGAGCAGAAGCGGCTAAGTATTGGCATGGGGATGGTTGCTGGTAAGCACGTTGTTATTGCTGTTGTTGCTGTTTGGTGGTAGTAGTGGTGGTGCTGTTTGGTGTCGATGTTCCTGTCGTTGATGCAACACTGAGCTCGTATGAGCGATTTTCGGCATGTGACAAGAACGTTAATTCCGTGTTACGATTATTTCTTGGTGTACCCTCGTTGGCGCGTTGCCGCAGATATTGTGCAGCTCTTCCGTGGACGTTTCACTGAATTGTTCGCAAAATGTTTTTCGAGGCATATGGTGGAGTTTGTTATGGTTCGACAATCAGTACTGAATGGGATCTGAAATTGTGCTTTCTTTCACAAGAAATATGTGCACAACGGTACGGCTCAAGACAGATGTCACTCATCGCCCTATCTTACCCTCGACCGCGCGAATTCAAACACCCCGCCCCCCCAATCCGATAGCACCAAAACTAACGACTACCTTACATACCGGACCAACCGTGCCAACTAACCAGAACCGGAGGTTCTTTTCCTGGACGAACCGACGACGGGATTGGATAGCGCCTCGGCCCACTCGGTGGTGAAGTACATCTCCAACCTCGCCAGGCAGACCAATGTGGTCTGCATCATGACGATCCACCAAGTAATTTGGTTCCGGCTTTGTATTCCCAACAGCTCACAACCCACCCAAAAAAGATGCAATAATATGGCAGCAACGCCCGCTTCTCGAAAGCTTTTTCGCCCAGGATATCTTTGTACAAAGTTAGCACGCTCAGGAATCGTTGACGTGCGTAGGGTTTCACCGTGTATTGTTTGCGTGGACGTGTTTTAGTCTGTATCTCGCACATCGATTGCAGGTGGAGCCATAGGCAACATGGTTGTTTTGGGAGGCATTCCTACAAGTACAAACGACACTGGGACGGCTGTTGCGGGCAAACTCCGTTCGTTTGGGCAAAGTAAACGCTGTATCGTGGCTCCAAACACCACCCCGTGACGTTTCCGATCGCAGCCTGCCAGCGAGGTGTTCGACATGATCGAGGACCTGATGCTGATGGAGAGCGGTAAGCTGACGTACTTCGGGACGACCAAGAACGCGAGAAGCTTCTTCGACTCGTTGGCGGGAGAGTGCCCCTCGAGTGTCAACCCGGCAGGTGCGGTTTTGTCGGGATTTCAGTTGATGGGTGTTCAGCCTAATATGAGCGGGACGTCCCACGTCCCAATCAAGGGGCGTTTTGTCTTGTAAAAATGGTGGCGGTAGAGACGTGGCCCTCAACATGGTCGATCGAGCACAGCCTTACGTAGAGTCTTTCTGCACACGATTCGTGAGGTCTGGACTCGGTTTAACCCTCACCCGCCCTCTCTCTCTCCGTTGTATTTAAGTACTGCACCTACCTTCGCACGTGCGTACACACCGAGAAATCTCACATCATCCCGGCGTTTCGGTTCTGCTCCAACCACGAATGTCGGCTTAATAATAGTGTATGCAGGGTCGCCCTCTTTGTTCGCCCGTTGTGATTCCAGGAATTGTTTCCAGACCACGTGCGAGCCCAACAGCTATGACGTTCAATACGAATAATGTGCATACCGCACGTAGTGAAAACCTGCGATTGATCGCAAAAGGTTATTGACTTCGCACGTCGATCGACTTGAACGCCGAATGTATGGGCGGCATTCCGCACCATCCCTCGATGCGTGTGTGTCTTGCAAAGTAAATACCACCTCGTGTGTGCACCGCTTGCCTCTTACGCAGAACATGACGTCGACATTGATTGACGGGTAGCTACTTTCGTTGCTTCAGCACGAGAAACTATCCCAACAATTTTTCGTACCTTTACTCTTGGTCCAATCGGTTGTGATTCACGAAACGTTGCTTCGACCGCAAACCTCGCCGGCAATCAATTCCGTGCGTGCGTGTGTGTCTCAGTCTTGTCTGGTTGTGATGATTCGTTATTCCGGTGTTGCTCTTGTTGCCTTTTCTTGCGTCGAACGAAATTCTTGCAGACTACTACCTCGATCTGATCTCGCAGCCCCCGTCCGTTGACGTCGGCAAGGGCGCAACATGGCAGGTACGTTCGTTCTATCTCTTATATATCCCCTTCACGGGAAGCGACCGGCTTTCTGCCGCCTACGTTTGAACCAATACAAATGCCAGGTTGTTCCGCAAAAGATAATCGCTTCGGTCCGCACACCGACTTATTTTCTCTCCGACTCTCCATCCACGGATGCCCACGACTGCCAAGGTTCTTCCGACCATCAACACGCCACCTTGTCAGATTTGTTTTGTGTTCTTCACGTCTGGTTCCGTGCCGTGAATGATACGCATACGTACGTCGAAAGTCGGTTCAGGTATGTAAGGGAAACGCTCACAACTTGGCGACTTTTATGGTACAAACCATTGTTGTTTTGTTGCGTCGTCGTCGTCGTTGTCGTTGTCGTTGTCGCTGATATGGGGATACTGTTTCATTGTTTATTTTAGATGCTGCTGCGTTGACACTGTCAACAGGCCAGTCCGTAACCTGGAACACCCATATTCTCGTATGTTCGCACATTTGTATGTATCGACGAAGCGTTCTATTCATCTCTTTGGTTCTCGTTGTCACAGGAGCTGTACTACAACAGCGAGTTCAACATAGACATCCCCAACAGCACGGTACGCACGGACAAGGAGCCCGGCGACGACGACGGCGATGGCGGGCGGCCCCGGCCCCACTGGAGCGTGGTGGCACGCACCCTGCTGGCCACTCAGCTCGAGTACTGTGAGCCAACTCTCCGTGCCAGCTCGTTGCTGCTGAAATCGCGCTTAAATTACACCTGTCTCCTTGGTTGTGGTGTGTGCCCTCTTTTGCTTGTTTCGTAGCGTGCAACTAAGGCAGGAAGTCCCCTATGCGCTCAACACCTTGGGGCTGACCAAGACTTATGTACACTGTAGCAGCGAAAGACGACCACTTATGCGGGCGTGTCTGTGTGGGCTTAGCAAAGCCAGCAAAATAAAACAACGAAGGGAAGCTAGTTTTGGGTTCGAAAACGAATCTCTTTGTACAACAAGCACTCACTCCCTATTGCTATTATGTTTTCATGTTCGATACCGCGGGCGGGACGGGCGATCGATGCAGACTGGAGAGCGACCGAGGTGCACTGGTTTAGGATTCTGGAGCTGATCGTGCTGGCGATTTTCGTCGGCACCATGTACTTCCGACTGGGCAAAGACAGGATTGCAGAGACGGCGGCCGCCGCGTTCTTCAACATGTGGTAAGCAATGAGAGCATACAAAAGGTCCTCCTTCTTCTTTGACCGTTTGGTGGGCGTGGCATGCGGTAGGGAGTTCAAGCAACAGTTAGGTACACACGCGTCTTATTCAAAGCAGTGTAGCGAGTCCAATTTGACGCAGTGGTGGAAACTAAAACAAACTTGTATGCATACCTTGGATGTGTGTTACTCGTTCTTGTTAATTTGCCACTACACTTGGGATATGGACGATCAATGTTAGCCAATCGTGAACAGATCATTGCACGGTATTATTCCTTCCCACAAGCCATCTCAGGTTTCCCCGCGTCTCGGAATAAGGGCGTCAAACACTTTCACGGTGTACTCGATGAACGCAGACGGCGTTTCTTGCTCTCCCTCATTGTCTTCTTCTTCGCCTTCCCTTTCCCCGAACCCATTTTCCTCGTCTCTTTACCCGTGGTACTACTCAATACGCGTAGGCATTCCTTTTCCTCGGACCCTTCCTCTCTCTCTCGCCTTCCCCCCCCGCGTGCATGGTCGGTAACTGCATGGAATCGACAACTAGTTATTCGGTACCATAGTGCACTGAGTGCTTCCCGCCCCCTTTATGTACCACTAACAACCCAATCGCTGCGCCTCCCTTCCCTTCAAAACCATCACAAAGGTGCGCACTTTTCGCAGTTGTGGCGTCTGTGCCCGCCTTCGCTAGAGACCGCCGTCGGATCCTCCAGGAGATGCTTAACGGGGCATACGGGCCCACTATGTACTGCTGCACGCAGTTCTTGGCATCGGCTCCGTTCATCCTTGTGTCGGCGCTCGTATACCAATCAATCTTCCACTGGCTGGTGCGGCGATAAAGTGGCGTTTTTCGACATCATTGTGGGGCGTTGTTTGACCCCAACGTATCAGCGTGTTGTCCTACAATGCAAATCGACCCTATTTCCTTGCCTCCTGGTCTTAATAGTCACGTCTTGGTAACTTAATACTATTCGCCCAGGGCATACCTATCTCTCACCATGGACTACCACTGTGCTACAAGCAAGGGTGCCACCTAATGTTTTTGACAAGGGGGGGCGTTGTTCCCATGGTGCTGACTTGACACCTATGCCGAAATATTTTGTGTGGGTGCGGAACGCACAACTGATGGCGTGTCGATCGGACTGGATTGTACGGAATCGGAACGCGAAAAAATAGGTTGGCTTCAACGACAGTGTCTACGCTTACATCTACGCCGTGCTGCTGACGGCATCTCTGCTCTTCATGATGGAAGCCATCATGCTCATGGTGAGCGTGGATAGATGCAGCGTCTTTTTTTTTGGAACACAATTTCCTGTCGGAGAGAGTTCCTCGTTCACAAGCGAAAGATTCCACAAGCACTTAGTTCCTCCTGGCTGATACGTCAAACAGATACACCGAAAGGTGTGTAGGAATGCGCGAAAAGAGAGAGGGCCAACACACACAGACATGCATGAGCCCCCCCCCGCCAGCTTTTTGGCGGTAACCATAATGGTGGTCGAGTAGATCATGTTGTGCGGGGTGGAGAACCCTCGCTCCGCGCAAGGGGGATGATCGCACCACGTTGTGTTAAAATGGTCAAGCACCCTCGAGGCAGTTACACAGTGCTTACAACTGTCT